ATATATATATATATATATATATATATATATATACACATGAATACATGTATATATATGTATCCAATACATTTGTGTGGGTTTGCCAGAAACACACATGTATACATAGACATGCATATGTATGCACAATGAATTGAACATTAAAATATTCTGTTATATTTCTTGGTAGTTCACAAATAATGTCTTATCCAAAAAAAAAAGGATTTTAGATGATTTCTCAAAGTTTTTGGATACGCTCTAAAAAAAGAATAGAAAATCTTGATTTTTTCTTTTTGTATTCCCTCTCAAAACAAAACAAAAAAATGGGTTAGAGGGGGTTTGAATACATAGAATATTCTCCCACCATACACAGGACTACTAACTTGAAAGGGGAAAGAGAAGGTGGATTTGTTGGTTGGAGCAAGGGGAATAATATTCTTGCCCATGGCTTGAGGGAAATTTCCACCCTTGGGCGGCAGCCTTGGCTCTGTGGCTAGAGGCGCCAGCCTAGGGCCTGCTGGCTTGTGGGGGCATTCCTTATAGGAGTGTCAACTGACCCTACCCGAACTCGGATCTGGACCCAGACCCAAAAATATAGTGTGGGACCAGGACCCGACTGTACATGATTGAACCGAGACCCGAATAGTGTTCGGGTCCGAGATTTGGACCCGAACCCAATCCACTGGGTCCAATTTTTGGACCCATTCCCTGACCCAGATCGGTTCTACCCCTTGGGTCTTGTGTCGGGTCCGGGTCCATTGCCACCCCTAGTTCTTCAGCATATAGGCAAGGCATCTAGCCCCTGAGGTGGGCACCTTTCAATACATCGCCAACCGCTCTAAATTTTTTCTTTCGTTCGAGAGTATCAGTATCTTCAATTTATCTATGCACTATTTTTTACAATATTTTCTAGTATCCATTGTTTTTAGAGGGGCCATCTTATAAAATATCAAGAAGAAATTAGAGGGTAGGCCTAACGCTATCCCGTATTTGGTTTTGTGCAGTATATTCCAGGGACTAAGATGGTTTTTCCAGGTCTGAAGAAGCCGCAGGAGCGAACTGATCTCATTGCTTACCTCAAGGGAGCCACATCCTCCTAAGAGAAAGCATACTGTTTTTTCCCATCATTTTCTCTCTTCATTTCAATATTTTTGCGGCTCCCATGGTGTGGTTTGAAGCAGAGATACTCTACTATTTTTTCAACAATAAGTCCTTGTTGGGATCTCAAATTGGCTCTTAGAATCCTAGAGAGCCATTTCTCCTTACATTGTACATGTGAAACTCTACTCTCTTTTTGTACCCTTATAATTTACATTCGAACTAGGTGAATGTCTACTGTGAATGATTGCATTTAGGAACGCCATTCCTCCATTATAAATCTGGATTAATCTCTAATTGATTATCTTAGTCTTCAGAAAGTGCTTATTCTATGCAGGCGTGCCATTGGATTGGGGTTGGTGAATCCGGCTTGAAGAACCGGGAATTACTGCTGTCGGTTTTCTAGTGTGTTTTAAATTTTTTGTGAAATATAGCCTGGTCTGAGTCGGAGTCTTTCTTTTCCAATTCCTCCTTTTTGTTCTACTTAAGTGGAGTGATCCGAACTCGACTGAATAGAAAAGAGGACTGCAGGCTTGTGTGTCACCTTGGCACCATCAGAACTCATGTGGATGCCTAGCCCGAGGACAATCTATCAAGTATACATACAGATCGAATTTCCTTATCTTTGCTGGTGTCTTAATGAAGTTTCCCTTGTTGCACTAAGTTACGGGTCAAGGGAATTAGAGTTGGACCTTAATAGGGATCCGATTTGTGAAACCCTGGTGCAGCAGCTAATGTAGGGTGCAGGTACACTATGTTGTTTTATGGTACCATATTGCCATAAGGTTGATCCTGATGAGTGATCGAAATTATCCCGGTCGATGGATATTTAGCTGGGTGAGCTTAATTGTTGAGTGATTGCTTACTTTTGGTACAAAAGAGGTCAGAAACACGTTGTACGATATCAAATTGGGTGGTTATAGGAGTATGACATTTACTGAAAAGTTCAAAAAATTGATTTCTCGATCCTCGTGATATACCCCTGGTCATTTAATTTATTTGTGACTTCATTATAATAAAGATAATGATCTTATAGCATACAATTCCAAATTTAATTTCCATTGTCAAAAGGGACAATCGACTGTCTACAGTATAGGTGTATGATGTGTTACTATTAACAATCTATCATCATGTTGTGCTAAATGATTTTGATCTCCTTTGATCAAGATGATCGATGGTTGAGATTAACAATTTCTCCTAATGATTTAGGCATTTTTCTGGGTAAAGTTAATGGACATTGTCATGGGTGGTATACAAAAATTCACCCAGTTGACTTAGGCTATTTTGCAGTTAACGAGCATATTTTGTTTAGAGTCACCCGAATCGCCCAAGTCTTTTTGGGTTGGAAAAACCTATGAATCGGTTTTTTTTTTTTAATCTTTTCGTAAGGTTCTTTTTCTCGACGTTCATGGGCTTTTTAAAATATTTCTAGTTATTTTTGGCATTATTTTCTGAGGAACCACGAGAGATTAGCTACTTGACATTCTGCTTATATTTGAATATTTCAAAAGGGTGTGGTTTGTGTAAGCCCAAGATTCTAAACAATTAAAGTAAGATACACCTTCAAAGAGTGTTGAAAAGATACGCCTTCAAATAGTGTTGAAAAGATGCACCTTCAAATAGTGTTGAAAAGATACGCCTTCAAATAGTGTTGAAAAGATACACCTTCAAATGGTGTTGAAAGATGTTTCAATATTGGAACCCTTTGTTATGGCCTAGAAGCTTATTTTCATCTCTAATTATAAAATTTAAAATTTTAAAAATATTGTAGATCAAGAAAATATGTGAACACTTGAAAATTAACGGTCCAAAAATGTATTACAAGATGCAATATTTTCAAAACTTGAAATCCAATTTTTCTCACATCGCTACATCTTGAAGTCCAGATGATAAATTTGAAGATTTTTGGGCTTCGAAACATCAAGCGAAATTTTTGAGGTGCACCTTAATTTGATGGTTTAGAGCGTCACCTTTATATAAACTTTTTCCATTTCCAAATACCCACTAAAAAACACGTGATGGAATAGTTATTTTATAAGTACAATGTTGAATAGTTCATTTTTTATTGGTATTTTGATAAATTTTCATTTCCTTTTATGGGTAAGGTTTTTGCTTACAAAATTCACCATCCAAGTATCCAACCAATGGAGGGATGATGAAATGAGGACTATTATTTGGGAAATGCCTTGTTATACCGAGGCTCTCCCTCTCTCTTGGTAATGCCATGTTCTATTGTATCTCTTTGTCTCTCTCAACCCGTATGGCAGCAGTTCAAAATCTGTTGTCTTAGTTAAAAGACCCAAAAATATTGGGAAACTTCTCCAAGTCCTCTGCATTAAAAAAAAAAAAAAAGGATTTCAAGCTCCCAAAATGCTTCAAAATAGCTGAAAGCTAATGCCTTTCGGATCCACCTAGGTGTGGATCGGATATCTCTAGGGCATCAAATTCGTTTGGGAAGGTTAGAGAATGATTTCCAAGTTTCTTTGGGTCCCCAAACACCCAAAGAAACAGCTAATGGAGATGGAGTCAATAGGTTCTGGTTCGTATTCCTGAGCAATTCTTCTTTGGTTACATATTACTAAAATATAACTAACAGATCCACCAGAGAAAGGAGCATGTGCATTATACTCCCACGACAATATAGTGTACATCTACTCTCTCGGTCAAAAGATCTACTTGCGAAGATTTGTTCAATCTTAAATTCTGGGAACCACCTAATAACAACCAGATGATTATTCTCAACAGAAGATCAAAAAAAAAAACAAACTTAAAAATTTGAATTTTTAATAGTTAGATCTCACCCTCTAAGAATTGGACCGTCTCCATTCAATCTTGAGACGGTATTTTTTTTGGGTGCATAGAAGGTACAGTTATGATTTTTTTTTTCATTGAGGTTAATCGATGGGTTAAAACACCGGACGGGGTTTTACCCGAGGGAGTAAATAGATAGTATATTCCCGGCATAAGAAAGATAATCATCATTTGCCAAAAGAGCAAAATGGTCCCTTTCTTATATGCAAGACAAACATCTCATGACTGATCACAACAAAAATTCCGACACTAATCCTAAGGGTATCCACACCAGGAAATCTTTTTCAAGTATTTACGTAGTAACTCTTACTGGCTCATTGTAACGGTCGACGAAGGAGAGGGATCTGCAAATGAGTAAAACGACATCAGCCTTAACTTACTCCTATTATGATTTAATAACTAAGGGCTTGCGTGCAAGGTGTGAACCAATCGAGAGCATTTTGAACAAAACAATATATAAATTGATTGTCTACAAAAAGACCATTTATCTTTTATATAAGACCATCACAATTACTCTTATCTTTTAAATTTCAAAATCGGTGGTTGAAAGAATGTCATTGAATAGACACAGTTCGAAAAATAAATTATCAAACTTCGTGACTCATCCTAAACCATCCAATTTGACATCTAATGAGTGAGAATAATTGTAACCTCCTTGTAATAAAAATAAATAGTTTTTTTATATACAATCCCATAAATAAAACACATATTTCATTCATGTAACACTATATGCAGGAAGAACTAATTAAGCAACTCGCTTCCCCTGGTTTTAAAAGTGAGTAACAAAATTGATGTTTGTCAGCCTGAATTAGAATTGACTGGGATTTCGGCCTAGTAATAAGAGACCTTTCCAAGGCAAACTTAAATTCTGCTGGATATATAGCTGTGTGGTGTAATTAATAAACATTCCACTTTCATCTATCATGTTTATCTATTATTCAGCCTGAATAAAAAATAATGAGAAACCTAAGTATCCAATTGACTCCTTTGGCGGCAAATGAAACTTCCACAGGAATATGAAATTTCTCATTTTATCCATTTCATCAAACATCACTGCATTCCACGTGTTCAAGTTACTTACAATATATCAAACATCACCACATTCCACAACGTGTTCTAGATACTTACAATATATCAAACACCACCACATTCCACTACGTGTTCTAGATACTTACGATATATCAAACATCACCACATTCCACAACGTGTTCTAGATACTCAATATTGTAAACCTTCTTTACTTTTTGGTTTAAGTAAGAATCACCTTGAAGTTGTGCATACTTCATCAGAACTGCCAAGTGATTCATGATTCATCTTCTATTAAACACATTAAGAAATCCTCGCATATTCGAAATTTTCATAACAATTCATTAAGGATCATACCATTTATCAATCTCCACCCCTAGAGTACCGTATTAATTGGCAAACTTGCTGAAGATGCCACATCCAAGGTATCCCATAATCCAATGGAGTATTGAGAAATTAGTCTCCTGGGTCATCACTGTACAATGGCGCAATGGACAGTGATGGAGAGGAAGTAGAACTCTCCATTGGAGTAATGTCTTGTTCCAGTAAGTTCTAACTCTCTCCCCATCACCATCCACCATTTGAATAGATGGCGATGACCCAGTAGACCATGCTTTCTTCATTGAATACTTTTCACCATTTTAAACACCACTACCCAACCAATAGTTGGGAGTTATGGATGAAAATGAAATGGTCAGGGAATTGAAACATCTTCATGTTTGATTATATAAAAAGGGGAAAAACAAGTGACGATGACAGGCACTTAGCAAGAGACTGTTAATGAAGATATTTATATGGCGATCTGGTCATGCAACATCATATTGTGAATCTTATTTTTATTATATATAGGCAAGCATACAAACCTGAACACCATGAGGGCCAATCCGATTGCGAGATATGAAATTGAGGACAAGGCCAGCAAATTCATCTGACACATCTTCCTGCAATTATTAGTGACAAAGACTCAAATACTTTATTTGATGATGATGACGATGATGATGATAATCCCTTTTTGTTGGGGATATTTAAAAAATGTTCCAAAAATTATAAATTTCCTTTTTTCCGTTTATCTTTTTTCCTAAAATACTGAGTAGTTTGGTACTCCAAGTCAAAACTACTATCCAATACTAGAAGTACCAAACAAATTCATGCCTTTTATAAAATTCGGTACTAAGAGTACCGAACAAATTCATTCTTTTAAATAAAAACTATACTGTTCGTACTCTTAGTACCAAACATAAGAGAGTCCCGAATACAAAATCTTAGTACTGAAAATAACGAATACAAAATTTAATATGAATTTTTTTGGTACTCTTAGTAGCAAACTTTATTAAAAGGCATGAATATGTTCACTCTTAGTACGGGGAAAAAAATTAAGGGAAAAAAAGATATATCTTACTAAAATTCAAAATTTTTGGGACATTTTAAATAGGATGTCATCCTTATATTGTAGAAGTAAGGTACACCTCCAAAATTTGCTTGGAGATGTAGATCTGGTGTCAGAAACCTTATGATGGCTTGACAATCTATTTTCATCCCTGGTTATGAAATTTAAAATTGAAAAAAAGGTATAAATCGAGAGGATCTATAAACACATGGAAATCTTGAAAATAGACGATCTAGATAGCATGTTACCAATATGTCACTTAAAATTTACTTTTTCTTCATATGATCATATCCACACATCTATCTGAAGGTCAAGATGATCATTTAAAGGTAACTCCAACATCGGAACACTCTTCTACAGTACTTTTGAGGTGCGCCTTACTTCAGTAGTACAAAGTTGAAAACTTCTATATCATTTTTCATTTTAAATAACCCTAAAAGAGGATATTTATGTTAATTTCCCCAATAATAATAATAAGAGACGGATACTCAAAAAAATTATCAAGAAAGTACAAAACACTTTTATATATATTACAAAAATAATACCTGTATAGCATGTCCAGTATGACGAACAACAACCATTTGAAACTTGCCTTGCATTTGGCCAATTGTAAGGGATCTGCAATAATTCAATACAGTAGACTTTCCAGTCAAATTGACGTAGTACCACTGCACCAATTATGGACAATAACACCCACCCAATCCTCTCATGCATTTCACAATTTAGAGAATATTTGACCTAACAAGCTGATCAACAGAAACTCTTCTTATTACTGCTCGTAGTCAAACCTATGCACAATTTAGTCCATTATTGTACAGAAACTCCATTTATTACTGCATATGTTTGGCTGGGCAATTGTTCCAAACCACATGGATTTGGGGATTGTTTTAACAGGCATCTTAAAAAGGAGAAAAAGAAAAACTCAGCTTACTAACATTTGTCATAAATAAATAATTATCCAAAACAAAATAGTCTGCCATAACACATATTTCCAGTTTCGTCCATTAGCATAATTCTCTTAATAACTTTCCAATAATAAATCAGTCCATTTCTCAATGGATATGTCTGCTATCAGATTTCAAGATTCCATAACTAAGACATGCATAGGTTGCCTGTACTAAATCTGCAAGACATGCATAGGTTGCCTGTACTAAATCTGCAAGGTCACCAGAAAGTGCTGTAGCTGAGGGAGTACATGAAAAAATTGATAGAAATTTTAGAAATTTCTCTAGAAGTTCAGGGATAAACTTCTTACATTGGAATTCAAGAAACTTAAAGAGAGAAAATTCTGAACTAACCGTCAGCTAGAAGTTGTATCAAAACATTTCTAAAGGGGCAGTTCAGAAATACTACAGAAAAATATAAACAAAGGTCTCATTAGAAAAAGCTCCATGTATAAAATTTACTTCGTAAAATTTTATGAAAATCCTGTATTGTAAATATTTTCCAAACATTGGAAGCATTTATAAAAGTTTACAGAGTTTTCAGAAACCAATATACACAACCTATTTAAACGAAAAGCGCGTATTGCATGCTCCTGCCGGAGATTTTTTTATGAGGTTTTGGATCCAACTAGTAATAACTGGACAACTATTTTCAAACCAAAAAAAAAAAATTTGAGTTCTTTACCCACCTAGATCTTGTCCTCCAAAAACTGGACGTTCCTTGTTCATTCTCTGGACGTTTTTTTTTTTGCAAGCACAGACAACATTGCAATTTGAAAGATTTTTTTTTTTTTGAGAGGTTGATTACTAAGCTCAAGAGGGCACATCCCCAAATTTTGGGGTACTAAAAGTATTTCTAGCTTGAGATTGACCCACGGGAGCAAATGGACAGTATGCTACAGAAGGAGCATCATATCTTTTGGCTTAAAAGTAATTAATATATACTAACCTAAACATATCAGGTATACTTCGTATTAGACGTTACACAAATCACATGATCAAACAGATACAGAAGTATAAAAATGTTCTGATCAATGGGAATGTTAAGTGAGACTGACGAAGAAAGCTCAAAGGTGATCATGTTCATGTGTGATACAACTCTCAGTACCGAGAATATATCAAACAAAACCATTTAATTTTAAGGAAGTCTGCGTTAACAGCTTCAAAAATTTTATTTTATGGGAGTCTGATAAATAGATCATGTTATAAAAGCACACATGCAAAGATAATAACCTGTCTAATCTATCTGTTCCTGCTAGCAGCAGGAGTTTTGGAACTGGGCTTGACAAGAACTTCTCCGATAAGCCTTCATACCTGGCATATATGACCAAGATCATATAATTCTCAACAATCACAACGTCACATCTGGTAATTTATAACATAAGTGTTTCTATGCATGTAGTGCACACTCCATACACACACATGGCACACTCACAGACATGCATACCCAGATACACCTTTCAACCAAGGTGTCCATACCAACAAAAAACAATAAAGGAAATTGCTATGCAATGTAACGGAGCAGTGATTAAAAGCAGATTCAGGCTCGGACTCACCAGGGTCCCAAGCCCGAGTCAGCGGTTGGACTTGACAGAGTTGGCAGACCGACACGGCCAAGTCTTTCTGAAGAAATACACAGAAGGGCCATGACCAGTGAGACTCACCCAAGTCTGACGGCTTTTATTCAGACTGGCACCCTGCATGGTCCAAGCGATTCTAGCGAGTCTGAGCCTCTATATGTTTTTTCATTTCATTTATAGACATCGATAGGCAAAACCCGCTATTTCACATGTGACATCCCATACTGTATTAATTTATTAAAAAAAAGATATCAATTTTTTATATCTGAATTTTCATGAGGTATCATCATATATCCAATGTACCACTATCCATGCTTGTAACCATCTTATATATCCCCACCCAATGAGAACTAAACCGCCACAATTTTGTGGTTATAGAATTTTGAAATTGATGTCTATTGTGTTATGGATCATAGGGTAGGTAGACCAACCACCCAAGCAAAGCATTCTTCCCAAATAAAATGGCAACTGGTATGTACATTGTGCTTGGTTTCGTCGCATAGGTACTAGATGTGACTATCTATAATACAAACTCAACATGTCCTCTCTGTCCTTGAATTTGTTCTTTTTATATTTTATATGTCCTAAATATCCTAGATGTTGTTGGTCTAACCCCATGTTGTAAGCAATAGCAGGCATTCCATACAACGTCACATTTTCTGCATTAGGGAGCTCTCAGAATTCGATTAATGGACACTTTGTCAAATGATCCGCCTAGCATGTGATTCTACTTCTAGGTAAACTATTGATTATCTAACCTGCAACTATGGAAAGAATGATGGACTGCTTCCACCTCTATTCCCCACAGAAGTACTTGTTGAATGTAGGAGTCCACATAGCTTCTCCCTTCCACCATATCCCCCATGACAGTAGATACTCATTGAACCACAGCCAACTGTCTTTAGGCTCCTCAAACCTAGTCAACACCTTCGATCTATTGTTTAGAATAGACATATAACACCATTCCAGGGGACAGATCCATTTGCTTAATGGAAATCATCTTCCACACGTGTTCATGTGCTTTGTTTCATAACAACTCCAAACATTCCCACCCAACTGATACTATAAAGATGTAAATACTTAGAAAACCATTAGGATATGTAACATGCAAGATTGATGTGTATCAGTACCATAAGCTCAGAAGAAAGGCCTTCTAAAATCAACCAAATAACAAGGAAGAGGAAACTTAGAAACATACCAGCCCTTCCAATATCCTTCTGTTTCCTCCAAACATGCCCGAAAAGTGTAACTGTAATAGAACTTCAAAATCAGAGCCATATTTAGTAGATGTAGGAAATCCAAAGAACAAAATGAATTCAGAAATATCGAAGCGATAATTGTGGCCATCAGATGTAAAGATACACACTGAATGAATGGTCCATTCTGCATTATTTTGCATAAGTACAATGCCTTAGGTTTCTTTTTCAACATAATTCCATAATTGGGCCCCTTTTTCCTCTGCTCATGTTGGCACAGATTATGGAGTTCATTAAATACATACCATTTCTTCGATTCATCGTATTTTAATGTCGATCGAACTGAAACACGTGCAGATTCAACATTCCTTAAAGAACCTCCTTTGACACTCCATTCGATCTGTGCAAATTGAAGACATCATCAATGATTTGCAAAAAGGGTAACCAACAAAAGCTTCTTACAAGACAAGCAGTCATTATTGAAATATTCATAATAGGAATTTTGCCAAAGGGATGCTTATGAAGAAATAGATCATGATAACAATTACTATTATTTCGAAAAATTAAGGACCATTGGTGAACTTGTACATTTGTGTAAGATGGCTACTCAATATAGTTTTATAAAAAAGTGAGAGAGTGTCTCCCTATGCGAATTAAGTCCATTATTTTCACATGTATATAAGTCCATATAAATTGCTCCATATTGAATGGTAAATGCTTTCCATCAATGGCAGTTCCTCATAATCATGATACCGATCAGTTTGTTTCTCTGCTATACATATCTCATTTTTATGTCAGGCATTGCAACTCTTAAAGGTCAAAGCAAAATGCATCAATTTCTGCTGGTGTATTTCTAGCTCACACATGTGGCTGTGAAGGAGAAGTTCTGTAAGACAGCTGTAAAACCAGCCAAGCTTTATGGGATGGAATGTTTGGCAATCAAGAAACAAAAATACTCATAGAATGAGTGTAACTGAGATGAAGATGTTGACATTGTTGAGTGGCAAGACAAGAAATTATAGAATTCAGAATGAATAAATTCAAAGGAACATAGGGTTGGCACCAATAGGTAATAAGATGAGGGAAAGTAGACTTAGGTGGTTTGTCCATGTGCAGTGTTAACCTAGAATAACACCGGTTAGGAGGGGTGATTTGGTTCAAGTGGAAGGCTCTAAAATGACAAGGGGAAGGCCCAAAGGACATAGATGGTGGTGAGAAGAGATATGGTAATGGGTAAACAATGGTTTGACTGAGGGTATGGCCCTTGATAGCGCGGAATGACGGAATAGGATTCGTATAGCCTATCCCAAATAGTTGGGATAGGGCTGATCACATGTTTCTGCGAAGGACAACTCTACAAGGTAACAAGGACAACCTATTAATTCTAATGCAACACTATTTTGAGTGGCCCATGGTGGACTAATTAGAGTATATCGTAGGAGTCCATATGCATGACAGTATAAAAGGTGACAGAAATATGGTCAGGACTCAGGTTTGCTTAACATGATATCTATTGTGTAAGGAGCAACCCTAAACGGTAAAGCACCTATTATTCACTGTGAAATAGCAATCAAATTCTGGCCCTATCTGTTGCATCCTTTCTGTTTTTTATGTTTGTTCCAGAATCTGTTGAGGCCTTGCTCCCACAATGGATTATCCCATCTCCATCAAAAGCAGGGCGCATCCCTTTAGAGTGCATACAAGCAACTCTATGTACAGTTTGGCTGGAAAGATAAATTGCACATTCAACATGATATTTCACATAGTATTTCTGAAGAATAAAATAAGGGCAAAAGTCATCGCGTGGTCTTAAATTACTTTTGGGATACTCGGCAGTGGACTTCAAAAATCAGTGGCAAACTATTGTGACAAGCAAGCCAAGCTGTGCAAGTTGCTCTGCAAAATTGGTCCCACCTTGTCAAGGAGTTCTGAAATTAAATGTCAATGGCAGTTCTAAGTGGAATACAAACCAGCAGAAGGTGGAATTATAAGGGATCATCTCGGAACATAGGATAGCAACAAGCTAAGCCAGCTCACAATCCATGACAGCTCAGCTTGGCTCACAGTGAGCCAAGTTTGAGCATTATTTTCCCGCTCAACAAGCCAAGCCATGCTGAGTATACTAGATCGTGCATTAAAACACCCAAGCTTAAGCTGAGACAAGCTCAAGTTGAGCATGTATAATATAATACATATAAAATGTACAAACAATATGCAATATACATGACATTGCAAGATATCACAATAATATAGACATTACATTGTAGATTGCCTTGTTTATGGGTGGATTGACTCAGTCACGCCAAGCCAAGATGAAGCTTACCTTTTCTTAATCAAGCCAAGCTCAAGGTTGCCTCAAACCACTCCAGCCAAGCTAGAACATGTCCGAGCTTGGCATGGCTTGGCTCATTGACACCCCCATCAGACAGTTATTATTCAGGCCCTTTGGTTAGATGTGATTTAAATGAGGTGGATGAATGGACCCCATTCTTCAGGATGCGTAATATGAAACCAAACAAGAACATACAAAGAAAAGGGGATTCATAAGCTAATGGGGGTATTGAATATCCATGAAGCTAGCAAACTTTTTCGATTATTTTTTCAAGATTCCCAAATCTCATTATTACTACCCATTGTACATGGAGCGAAGCTAATGTTGCTTACTGACTGCCATGCTGACCGACTGGCATGAGATAGAGTATCCAAGGCCTCCATTGGAATCTCATCTCTGTAAACATATCAGAGCCAATCTAGTGTTTCAATTTTGTGCACACGACATATTGTATATGTTTGTTATTATTTAATTTTTTTTTGTTGAGAATGTGTATGTTTGTTATTATATCAAGGAAAGAAAGTTAACCATCACAAAATAAATAAATTGAAAATCTGCATTGTTGTGGTTAGGATAGATCATAGACAGCCATAACAGTGGGCACTTTCCTGCTATGACTTGCAGTGTAAATTATATATTTATATATTGGAAATCTTTTCCACCACATTTTTTCACTTGATTAGATTTAAACTCATTGTTTTCTCAAAGATGGTCTTCTAAGTAAGATCTCAATGATCAAACTTGATTTCAGAAGCATCACAGCATACTGGAGTCTAATAACTATGAAGCTGCAACTCTCAGTTTGAAATTTCAGACACCTAACGCCCAACAAGCCGATCCGTATATTAAGTCCAAACTTTCAAAAAGTGAAACATTGCCCTAAAGAACATGATAACTAATAATACGTGAAAGAGCACATATTCCAAAATTGCAATCGTTCATACAGATTTTCCATAAACGTTGATGAGTTTTTTCATATCAGTCTCAAGAGCAGTAGATAAGACTCATCCCTATACAACTTAAAAGAATCAGAAACATTCATGGATAAAAAACTTGAAACTGCGATTGAAATTTAAAATTGTTGGTTCAGAACTTCAGGAACTTAAAAATCCAGAGGAAGAAATTCTCATCTCCAATAATCACCTTCATATAATTGACCAAAACAAATAAAAGAATAACCATAATGTACACAAGAACTCTTCCTAACCTAGTTAATATATCCAGAAAGCCGTAGCCCTAAGATAGCAAATGCACTAAGGTTCGAAACAATAAATGCATGATACATACCGCTTTCTCAATACTGTGAAAATATTGCGGTCGGCTTGCAAGGATTTTCTGCATATGAATCAATGATGCCATGGCTGTACCCTGAAGATGGTAGACCCAAAAGATAAATGATATGAACCACATTTATGCATCAGATTCTCAGTTTGTTAATACCAACCTCTACAACGTCAACTACAATCAATCCTTCCAAGCTTTTGATCACTTTCTTTGCTGCTAAATGCACAGCAACTGATCCACCCATGCTGCAATCAAGAACAGATGTTAAAACTTGGATAAGGAAAAAAGAACAATATACTGGTGAACTTACAAAAAAAAGGTGCATATGATCCTCTTCTCAAAAATCAGATCTTGCAAAAGGTTTTAATCTGAAATTCCGTCAATTTGAAAAAAAACTAACTGAGGAGAATGAATTCACACAAGGCATAATAGGAGAAAGAATTCACACAAGGCATAATAGGAGTATAGGACCATATGCACTGTCAAAAATGATAAAATGTGCCATTATTTTTTTCCCATTAAGAGAGAAAGCGAGATCGAGCAAGAGAGAGAGAGAGAGAGAGAGTGAGAAGAACCAAGGAAAAATTTTCACCTTAACTCAGATACAATAGTAGAATTGTGACAAATTCAGCTACACAACATGTTTACAATATATACACTGATAAAGGTACTCGCTGACATTATAGTGATTAAAGAAGAGGGAGGGGTACCACTTCAAGGTCTAAAAGAAATCAGAAACTGAACGAGGTCAAAAGTAGCATTCTTAAATGAACATCCATGACCACATCGTAATATCTCCTAGCAACACTGATTCTAAATACAGTAGGCAACCACATGAACATAAAAAGTGAAGCTTAGAAGCCAGGCTTGAGCAAGCTGCAAGACGAAAGGCATGACAGGGAGCAGAAATGTTTTAATGAACATTGTTTCCAATGACAGAATTGTCTTCTCACTGGCTCTTCCGGTTAAACCGGGACACTGAGACAATCCATATTTTGGTAATAGGGTGTCAGTTCATGTGAAACTTTCCCTGTACATATAGACTATATAGGAGATATCACAGAAGTACCTGTGGCCAACAAGTATAATTGCAGGGGCCGAATCTCCATAGAGTGCCTTCAGAACAGCCAAAACATCATTGCATAGTGTCTGCCAGTAATCAATGTCCCTAATTACGATCAGGAAACACTATTCACCACCAAGAATGGCTTTTGTAAACCAAACGCAGTCGAGAAACTCTAAAAAAAACTACTACGAAGACATGATGCATAACTTTTGTATTTTGGAGATTCATAGTATTATAAATAGCATACCTCTATAGACATATCTTTGTCATTGTCTGTGCAAGACCTTCCATGTCCTCGCATGTCCATGGCTACTACCTGAGCCTTTTCCTTCATCTGACGAGCTGCTATTGCAAAGGAAAGACTGGAAGAATGCGGCACCACTAAAATTCACATGTGAACATATATATATAGACTATCCGAGCCTTTCCTTCATCTGACAAGCAGATATTGCAAAGGAAAGACTGGAAATTTGGTGCACGACTAAAATCCATATGTGAACATACACAGATACATACATACATACATACATACACATTTAGTCAAAAAAGGTTACATATGCCAACAGGCTCATACTATAAGCGCACGCCACAGAAACGAAGGAATCATTGGAGTCTAAATTTTCAACACATTTAGAAATCATATAGACAATCAAAATGTAAAAAAGGAAAAAGAATTCACAGAAAAAGGAAGAGGGAGGATGAGCCTGTCATTTTCGGTGAACATATAACATCCATATGGCAGTGGAATTAGGCCTCCAAGTCAAAATCCTTTTTTAATTGTTTATTTTTCAAATTAAAGATTTTATGCAAAATTTCAGCAAAACAACACCTCTAGCTATGTGTTATGGAGCTGAGCTTATATTGTAGCTGTAAGCCAGTTGGCTTATAGAAGCACACACAGGTACACACACGCTCGCACACACACACACACACATCTATAAGTCCTAGAAGATGAGGCAATTGCCAAGGCAGCCTACTGGAATTTCCAGGCAAGGCGAACCTACATTGCTCAGAGATCGTCCTCGCTTACAGAGTTTGTTTGATAAAATCATGTATGGGTTTTAATCTTGCAATCCGGTAGGTGTCAGCCATCATCAAAAGATGTCAAACAGTAAGTAGGTAGGTTGGCTAACCTAGGGTTTGATCTGTTAAAGAACACAACATTGAAAGTTAAGTATCATTTTGTTCTTTTTTTTTTCTTTTTTTTTTTATAAGAAGCATGCTATACTAGATTTTCTTTGCACCAGTCTCCCTTCTTTAAGTGACATAAATAATAGCACTCATTGAAAACCATTTCATGATTTTATATTAGCATCTAATTATAGAAAAGCAAGTCAGAAAGTGTATGCATGAGTGTTGTTTGTAGTGCCATAAAGAACCTCTTAGACCTCTTCTCAAAAATAACATAGACCACCTCTTGAACCATTTATACATCTACCTGTAACCATTACTATTGGGCAACCATCTATGGATTGGTTCTTGACAGCACTAGCTCATGAAGGCCACACTTACATTCTAAAACACAAATCAATGAACAATAATTTCCAACGTCAAAACTAGCATTACAATAGTCCAAAGAAATGATGCCTGCCAACTGCAATCCATATCCATAGTAATTGAAAGTATTACAAGTTGCACGTAAAGATAGCATTCAAACAGAAAAGTGTGGAGCTTACCCTGAATAACCACCACCATGGATACAAAACACAATGGGTCCATGAGTTCCTGCAGTGTATACATGAAAAACCTAGAGGAGACAAACAATGTTATTAGCTTATTTTAGATAGAAAACTAAAATTAGCATTCCTGTATATGACAATGGAGATGAATGCAAGAATAAATTATTAACATCTTTCTAATCATTAAAATTAATGGTAGTCCCAACGATGAAATATATTACAGGAATTAGATCACTAAATAATACTTCATGTGAGAATATATCTTGTTGAAACAACATGAGCATAAAATCTGAGACTTTGACACCACCTGTTCAGATTCAAACCATCCAGAATAGGTCTTCTACAGGTTGTCCATTACATATTCTCATTCGCTACCATTATTCAGTGATCCATCAAAAGTCATAATTAAATAGCTCAATCTCAACCCAACTATATCAAGAAGGCCAAAAAAAAATCATTTTTTATTTTTTTATTTTTTTGGTACTAAGGTAGCATAGAGATCCACACAGAATTGAAGAAGTCAGAATAGCTTTTCTCTTACACTTTGTGAGTCTGGAATGTCAACATCCTCCTCTTTATCAAAGTAATCTGACCACTCCAAAGGTGAATATTTTTGGGGCATACTCCTGAGAGAACAATAAATGAAGCACATAAACAAAAACTTATAGCCGGGGCTGGGGGGGGGCGTACAAAATAAATCTTAGTGCAAAAAAAGAAAATAGTGCTATCTATAACACAACTTACAGAAAAAAAAAAAAACAGACTGTCAGGATCTAACAAATGACAAAAAAGTTTGTCGACACTTGGAGAGAAGGGTTAGTTTAGTATGTTACCTAGCATGAAAAACTAATGTAGTTAGGGAACTACCTTTTTCTCATGGATTATTTTAGTCATTTGTGTTTCAAAAGATTTTAATGGGCAACTAATAAATTAGGGTCCAGGTTTTCTAAGTATTAGTTATTACGGTTTTACTTTCTTATAAATATATGTATTGCGTTTTGTAAAGAACGAGAAGTTGAATTGAGTTTTTTGGCCTTGTGAAAAAGATCTTTCCGGGGTGGATTCGCTCGCATACCTAGAAAGGGTCAAATCTCTCAACCTTTAGGGTGGATTCTCTTGCAGACCCAAAGGGAGCATTTCTCTCAATTTCTACTTTGTCTAGCTTTTATTTTCTTTCGTCTCATCCTTCTACATGAAAAACAGACCACATCATGATGAATATCTTTCGTCTCATCCTTCTACATAAAAAACAGACCACATCATGATGAATTTTCAACTTCTTTTGCATTTATTGATAATGAACCAGTTGAATTACAATGAAGTACACGTATAATGTAGGACCAAGGGGGCATGGCTCCTATACAAGCGGAACACATGTGGAGGGCGTAGAAAGAGGGGCACAAGCTATGGAATTTTGAATTAATTATGGATGGCAAGGTTAGGGCTTTGGTGTGATTTGTAAAGGGTTTGACAATGATGAGAACAAGTTGAGGCTTAGGATTGGATAAGGGCTTCTAATATAAACCCAAGACAATGATTTGAAGCTCTAGGAAGGTAGGGAAGGAGTTAGGGTTATGGAAAATGGTTTGGAAAGTTTAGGGCAACATTTGTATGAAAGGTTTTAACAGAGATACATCATGCTGAAATTTTGCAGGTCCAGCACAAGTGATGGCTGGGATTGAAGGGAATGAGGTGAGATTGTGGCCAAATTAGGTTTGGAGGGCTTAGGGATGAGGGTGATGGGTTTGGTAAGGAGGGGGGCTATGTTATTAGGGTTGGGAAGAGTCGGTTTGATGGGTACAAGTAGGGTGACAAATTTGATTGAGAGAAACTTGGATGGGAAAATGACGCGGTTTAAAATTACGGGCACCAACAACTAGCAAATCCAAATAAAAACTTGAGAAGAAATCCCCAAGAGAAAGGACAGACGTGGGAGTCCGTATTCTCCACCACGCACCACCAAAGCACAATAAAGAAAAACCTACAAAAAGGGCTCGTCACTCTCTTTCTACAAAAAGCTTTTTTCATTCAACCAAAATCCCTTCCAACTGTTACAATATACGCCTGTTTTATACTACCATCTCATTCTAAATGAGTTTGCCACCCCACCAAAAAGAACGTAACTTGCTTCCTTCTACTAAAGATAGACATCCCCATCACGTCAATAGAAGACACATCATAAATAGACCCTTCATATCCAACACTAAGACTTCTAAAGAAAAGATAAACATGCCTACAACCAACTGTGCAAAACGAAGGAAAGAAAATACATAGCCCACTCAATCAAAAAAATAGACTTATATTTTCTTTAAAAAAAGAAGCGAAAAGATTGACTCTTATTTGAAATTTGAATAAACGGACTCACTTCTTAAAAAAAATGTGCTTCCTTAAATATAGACTTTATCCAAACAAAAAAAAAACCATACTAATCCTATTTCTAAAAATTAACCCTAATAAAAAAAATAAAAAGTCTACCAACATCTCTATAAATAAAATTAGCAAAATTAAAATTTAAATTTTGTAAATTAAAAAAAATAAAATTAAAATTTATTAGCAACCAGATCTTGATCTACATCATTCTCCCCTAGTTGGAGAAAACTCGACCTCAAGTTTTAAAATGCACTAAGATGAAATTTGTATTAATCGAAACCTTCTTTGACCCGAATATTGTAAACACAATCTTGGGACCTATGGGTTACTGCACTAATCAAAACACAAAAATTATGCATTGAAAATTAGAAATCCTCGATGAATGGGTCATTGTATATCCATAGAAATTGTTTATGTTCAGCCCTAAAACATACTAAGGGAGTATCTTCGAGACGAGCGCTTTCGATGACTGAACTAACTTCACTCATCGATTCGCCTTTGAGTAAGATTGTGCACTGAAACTGAGAAATCCTCAAGGAATGGGTCATTGTATATCCATAGAAATTGTTTATGCTCAGCCCTAAACAAACTAAGGGAGCATCTTCGAGATGAACGCTTTCGATGACTGAACTAGCTTCACTTATTGATTCTCCTTTAAGTCCATCTTTTTCTTCGTCAAGTATCTATATAGGCTCGATCTCCCCTGGGTTTGGGTCTATATCTTGCTTTTATCCCTCTCTCCATTGATGAGAAAGTTAGATATTATTGCTGCTTGAAGGCCAATTTCTCTCCTTTCATCTTGTTTTTCATCAAATATAGGACCTTCATAAAAGATAAGGTCATAAATGACATCAATGAATGACAATTCCAATTGAAGATCCAAACCTACTTACTCTTCACCTTCAACTGGATCTTCATCAAATTTAGGTAGCTCACTCTCCCAACCATGAGGCTCCTGACGCGGAGCATGCACATAGAACGGGTTCTCCAAAACAACGTCCGACTCACTACCGTCATCATAGTGTGTCGGGGCCAGATTTTGTGCCAAGTGCTGGGTCAGCTCCTCTACTTGCCTCCTCAAATTTTTGACTCAATATCTCGGATGTCTCGTTCTCGTTGGATGGGCTCATTCCCGATACCTGGCCATAGACTATGTCCACGAGCCATGATGCCTATCGATGAACACCACGATCCACAAGAATTTACCACTTGACGCAGTTTAAAATTACTGACACCAACAACCAGCAAATCTACCGCCTTTTTAGAGAGAGAAATAAAAATCAGAGAAGAAATATGCAAGAGAAAGCACAAACGCGGCAGTCCGCGTCCTCCACCACGCACCATCAGAGCACAAAAAAGAAAAACCCACAGAAAGGGCTCTCTCACTCTCTCTACAAAAAGCTTTTTTCATTCGAACCAAAATCTCTTCCAATTGTTACAATACGCCTCTTTTATACTACCATCTCACTCTAAATGAGTTGGCCTCCCCACCAAAAAGAAAGTAACTTGCTTCCTTCTATTGAAGATAGACTTCCCCATCACGTCAATAGAAGACACATGATAAATAGACCCTACATATCCAACACTAAGACTTCTAAAGAAAAGATAAACTTGCCTATAACTAACTATGCAAAAAGAAGGAAAAAAAATACAGACCCCACCAAAGAACTAAGCTGCATGTGCATGTAGTTTGTATAGGAACTAGGATTGCATTGAAATAGTTGTTATGGGTGCTGGGTTAGTCTTGCATGTAATTATTCAAAGGTGCATTTGGGTCATCAATGCATAAAGAGGTCATTAGAAGCATCTAGATTTTGGTTTTGAGACCCTAACATCTTGTACAATGGCTGAAAATAAAAGTGACAAATTTTGAATGAAAATTTTATTCGTTGCAAGCAGTTCTCTGCCACACTAGGAGTTGAGTGTGTCCTCCTACTAGAAGTTGAGAGATTCCTCCTACCTGGTGAATGTTTCCAGTCCACCTTGCTCTTGCAAGCCCTAGCCTAAGCACCCTAGACATACGCAATTGTGTGTTTTGGCTGCTAGAGGAACCCCAAAAGAAACTTTACCTTCATCTTTCTTTTCACAAAATTTGGAAGTCACATAATGGGACTTAACACCAATATTTGACATGTACCAAATGATGATCTGGATTTTGTAAGAAGTCCCATTACAGGTGATGGGTTCGAATTTGAGAGGTTGGATATTGAAGAAGGAAAGCAAGTTTATGAGGGAACTATAAAGAGTGGTTTGAATTCTAATGTTTGTGTCCATCTATGACAAGGGAGAGAGTTTAAGGAATACTCATAAAGTGCACAATGAGTGCAAGAGGTTGATTGTTAGCACTTGGGACCCCACGATTCTGGTTATCTGAGATGGGCTGAATTTGACATTGCATGCCAATTGTTTGATGAGAATGTAAAGAGGGATGTAGTATCGTGGGATTGCATAGTGAATGGTTGTTTGAGGGATGGTAACATGGGCTATGCACATCGATTATTCGATGACACCCCTAAGAAAAATTGCAATCGTAAAGAGGGAATTTCTTTAAAATGACAGTAGTTGAGGGAATAGACCCAAATGGGGTCTTAGACAGTGTTCTTCCTGCAATTGGTCATATGCGTGCCCTATGTCAAGGCAAGTGAGTATATGCATAGTGCATGCATAGACCAACACACATAGTATGGCATTGGACTGTGTTATGAGTTTAGCTCCAATCAGCATGTACTCTAGGTGTGGAAAGATTAAAGATGCCTCTGTATATTTGAGTGTATAGCGCACATATCAAATGTCATCAATGGAATGCCATGATCCAAGGACTATCCATGCATGGGCAGGGTATAGGAGTACTTACGCCATTTTCACACATTCAAAGATCAGGTATGAGCTATGACACATTAGTCACTGCTTTGAATGCGTGCAATCCAGGCGACCATATATACTCTAGCCCCACAAAAGAGAAGAACAATCGGATGTATGAGTATGGAAAATAAGCCACCAAACCCTTCAAAGAGATGAAGCTACTGGGGGTTATATTCATAACTATTGAAAGGACAGTTAACCTTGGAATGTTTGGAATAGTTCCTCCAATTTATCAAGATTGATTTCTGGAGGTTTTCACTTTTCCATTTAAACTTTAGATCCAACAAAGGAGAAGGTTGCAGGAGAATGTGGATTTGCTGCAGAGACCATCCTAACCCCTTTCAAAACTCAAGGACAAGTTTTCTACTACCAAGGAAGTATGATGCAGCGCCTAGTCAGCACCAAGGTGGATGCCTAGTGAGTTCATGTGCATGTGCATTGTAAGATGGTTGAATGGGCATGAAGTTTATTGTACTTTAGCTTTGGAGTTGTTTGTATAAGAACAAGGGTTGCATGCATGTAGCTGCATGAAGAGTAATGTATTTTGCTTTGGAGAAACTCACAAAGAAACTAGAGTTGCACGTGCATGTAGTTTGCATAAGAACTAAGATTGCATTGAAATACTTGTTGCCGGATGATGGGCTAGTCTTGCACATAGTTATGTTGAAAGTTTCAGTGGATTATGGTAATGCATGGGAACTTGGTGAGAGATCTTACAAAGCATCTAGACTTTGGTTTTGAGTTGGTAAGTCTTTTGTACAATGGCTGGAAATAGGAGTGACGAATTTTGAATGAAAAAATTTCATTTGTTGTAAGCAATTTTCTGCTGCACTTGGAGTTGCGTGTGTCCTCCAACTAGAAGTCATGTGATTCCTCCTAACCAGTGCACTAATTTCGCCCCACCTTGCTCGTTGAATGATTTCTGACAACACCTCATGGGCCCCTGGCTTGCATCATAACTAATATTGAAATTCGTAGTGAATTTTTTGGGAAGCTTTCAACCATGTATGAAGCCAGACATCCGAATTAGGGAAAAACACAAGAATAGATGATGTAGATCATGTAGAGATCTTTGATTTTAGATTTGGAACACTCCAAATGGAAATCCAGGTAAAAGCAATGGCCTCTGAAAGGTGATCGCATCTACTTTAAGTTGCAATCAAGGGTAGTGGACAAAAGGATACCTACACATCATATGTGAGTGACAGAGAGAGCATGGGAAAGAAACAAATCTGAGAGGAAGAGTACAAATCAAATCCTCTTACTATTGTTCATCTGCAACCTTAGACAAGGGAAATAACAAATCAATGAAAAATGATAGACAAACACATGAAATAAGTTGTTTCAAATAAATGTCGTGACATAAACCATGGCCCTGGTATCGGAAGTTATCTACCCTATACCACATTCCATGTGACGAATTAACTGCCAAACATGTCAAACCCAATGCTTGAGCTCTTAAGCCGTGACACAAACCATAAGGGAAAGAAAATACAAGCCGTCATATCAGTTTCTATCAAATTAACGAGGTTACGAACTTATAAGAACGAATTTTCAAGCAGATTAGGGCATAGAATGACTAATTTTTTAGAAAAATAAACTCATTCAAGCATGACATAGAGAATTCCAATAACTTTCACCAAAGAAAAGAGAAATAAAAAAAAAAAAAAATCAGACTCCAGCATTAGGTCAGGTGACTTAGTTTATTGCCCCCTGAGAATGCAGTTTTCCTTTGATCTTATCAATAAAAACTGTCATAACAAGTACAATTGAACCCATAATAATGAATTACATCAATCTTTCCCAGCTATCCTATCGATGTCAACCATAAAAACAAAATCATTTATCTTCATTTCAACTGAATCATGCCAAACGATAATGAAAACTGAACATGTTTCATTGATCACAAATAATTCATGCTTGCACATGAATTCATGACAAAAATCAACCTAAAATCCATTTACACCCAATAATCCATTGGTTCTAGGGTTTCATTTCTCCAGTGAACCAACGATCATCCATCAACACATGTAAAAATGAGAGAAACACACAAATGCAGTGAAAGTTAAAACTATTTCCTCAAAAAAAAAAGGGCGGTGGCCTACCGAGTTGCAGGGCGATCATCGAATGCAGAGATTGGAGGGAGCTTAGGAGAGGAAGAGGAATCATCAGGATTTAGGGTTAGGGCTTCTTCAGAGTCTTCGGGCAGAGCAGAGAGCTTTGCAGCATCCATGTTTTCTGTCTTTGACGAGGAGAGGAGGGAAATGCAGTGATCTCCCTCCTTTTATAGTTCAACTTTTTCAAAAGCTCTGAGGTTCCCATACGCTGGTCCCGCGGAACTATTTTGTACATTTTTTTCCACGTGTTGGAAAGACACCGGCCAGCCAGGCTCCTGTCAACGTTTTCGTCCGGAAATTTTCTTAAACGAAAATAGTTTGATAGGGCTGCGGCCCTATCAAAATAAGTAAAGCCTCAACTAATAACCCGTTAAAAATTGTAATTCAACCAATAGAAAAAAAAATTATATGATGTTATGGACTTTGGGTAAAAAAATTAGGATTTCAAACTCTAAAAGAAAAAAATTACTTTAATAAATTATCTAGACTGATTATTTCTCCTTAAAAATAAGTAGTCAAAGATCCACAAGACCTCGACATTTTTTTAGTTTCAATTTTATTATCGGTATCGAACATTAATGTTAGATCCATCATGGAGATATTTGTTGCCTCAAGTGCTTTCCAAAGGAGGAATTGAGATGAAGTTTTATTTGGTTTTCATAAAACCTAGGCCTTACATAAACTACATCTTTTTTTAAATATCAAAAATAATAATTATTTTACTCAATGTGTTGTTTTAATAGGATTGCTTAGGCTCTAAAGAATTAAATTTAAGCCTACCTTCAAATAGTATCGAGAAATGTGGTTTCAATATTGAAAATCTTTGTGATAGACTTAAAATATATTTTTATATTTATTTATAAAGTTAAAAGCTTTAAAAATAGTGTTGATTGACTATAAAAACTTGAAAATATTGAAAATTGATGATCTAAAAATACATTACAAAATATATTATTTTCAAAACTTGAAATCCATTTTTTTTTCATGTGCACACATCTTATGTCTAGATGAGCAATTTGAAGATATTTGGACATCAAAAGAACCTCTTCTAGTGAAATAGGGTCAAATTTGATTGTTTAGAACCTTGGCTCTATATAAACTTTTCCCTTTTTTATATATATTATGAAATTAAATCAAAAGTTACATGTTAGACATCAAATTAGATAATTTGATAAATTTTTTTAGTTTTAAATTTATGGAAAGTATCATTTTATTATTTTTTATATTTTTAATTTTAAAAATAGGTCCATACTTTTTTACACTGAAATTCACTTTTTCTATGCACTTGTAAAAAATATTTAATATATATAATTAAGTTAAATAAAGATAACCAAAATATCTCTATAAATTTTAAAATTTTGGATATTTTAGTTATTTTATTTTAAAATTATTTTTTTGTTTTTTATAAATGTGAGACGGTGAGAAATATTAACTCTTCAAAATTGAATTTAATCCAATATATAGAAAATAAAATAAATTTAAAAGACACAAGTACTCTTGAAAATTGTGAATAGGGGGTAAAATGTAAAATATGCATGACTATTTATGGATTTTGATAAAAAAATAGGATTTTGTTTGGTAAACTTCCCTAAAATAATTCTTATGGTTTATATTTTAGTCTAAACACCTAATTGTGAACATATATTGCACTTTTAATTTTATTTCTTTTGTAGATGTGATTAAGCTTGAAATTGGAGGTACACGTGATTCTCACCATCACATTGTCAAAATTACAAAAATATTAATTTAAAACAAAAAAATGATCAAAATACCCCTAGCAAGTGTAGGGCTATTTTGGTTATTTTATTTTAGTAAAGTAATTTTACATTTTTTAAATGCACGATGAGAAGTATGAACAACCAAATTTTAAATTTAATCCGATATTTTAAAAAACCAAAATTAAATTACAAATATGCTCCCAAAGGTGGGAATTTGGCATAAAATAAAAATAAATTCGATTATTTTAAGGGTGTGGTTTGTATAGAGCCGAAGCTCTAAACCATCAAATTAGAGTCTACTTTCAAATAGTGTCAAGAAATGTGGTTTCAACGCTTGAAATCTTTGTGATAGCCTTAAAATATATTTTTATCTTTGTTTATAAAGTTTTAAGTTTCAAAAATAATGTAGATCAATAGATCTATGAAAACTTGAAAATCATGAAATTATTACTAAACTTGTATTCTATATACTCTAACTTAATCCAACTATTTTTAAAACCTTTAAATTATATAGTAAGGTCCACCAACTCTTGATGCGACGAAAAGACGACAATCTTCTAGCCACATAACTTAAAACATGGATGATGACAATTCGTCAATGAGGAGCACCACTGCTTAGAAAGAACAGGGCATTGATCTGAAGTGAGTTTATTTCCATTTTCATACCTCTCTTTGTATCGTAAACCATGTATATATATATATATATATATATATATATATATATATACTACTACTATATCTATTTCTTCTACTACTTAACGTACTATATACTACTCTTCGTACTACTAACCGTAACTACTACTTCTACTCTCTATACTACTAACTACT